GGGGGAGCCTTCTTCGCTCTGGTGACTACAGGAATTGGGGACATCCCCCCTCCGCCCCACCTCCTGGGGGCTGGATAGCTTTTCAGGGGGAGGACAACCCTCCAGAGTTTTCCTGGGCAGGTTTGCTGATTTGAGGTTAAAGGGACAAGGCCGGGTGGGGCGCATGTTTTGTGTGTGTGTGTGTGTGTGTGTATTGGGGGAGTGCTAGATATCGTTCCTAGGGGCTGGGGTAGATCCCTGGACATCCCCCATGCCATCCTTCCACCCACCCCCACCCTGCTCAGTGCGGCTGGAAATGAGGTCCTGTGCATTTGAATCTTGTGCTAATGAAACATCTGTGTATGTGGGTAGTTGTGGGAGGGACAGATGTAGAGCTTGTGCCCAGCTGGGCCAAACTAGGGTGTGGCCTGGGGTTCTGAGCCAGGGGACAGGACCTGGGACTGGTGGCAGCTAGAGCTGTTGGCACCCAGAGATCCCCAGACCGGAAGACCGTGCACCTCACTGGCCCCTGCTCAACTTCCTTAGCAGTTTATTCTTTGCCTTTCCCGGGAATGGGGACTGTTAGACTCCACCAGCAGGGAATGACTTTGATCCCGGTGGCCAGGAATCCCCTGCAATTAGATAGGATCAGTGAGCAGGCCTTGGGCTGACTGGGAGGTGGGGATTAGGAGAGAGGCCCCAGCTGGCTTCTCCACTGACAGGGAGGGGAGCAAAGGGCAGGAATTGTGGCCTCAGGGAAGATTCGTGTGGCCACATAGCCAGTCGGCACACTCTGGGCTTCGGGGGTGATAAAAGACGGCCTTTGTGTGTCAAGGTGGCCTGTGCTGACTCTAGTATAGAGAGGGTTCCTAACTGGCAGAGGACAGGGGCAGTCCTGGTCTGTGCCCTGTAGAACGGGGGGAGGCTTGGGGACCACCAGATCCTTGGAAAGTGGGGTCTGGAGGTTTGGGCAGGAGCCCTGCTTTAACCTCCTGTCTCATTTGGGGACCACTGAGGAAAGTTTCCTAGGGCTGCACCTTGGAAAGAGTTCCCGTGAGTGCTTCTAAGCCCGGTGCTTGGCAGGAGAGGCGGGCAGAATGTGCCAGCTGTGTGCAACTTTGCCCCTTCCACCTGGGCTCCGTGGGGCCACACGTGTCGGGAGAGTTGAGCTGAGGTCAGAGGTGGGCCAAGACGGGCTGGCTTATGTCTGTCCTTCCGCATCTCAGGATTTATGACCCAGGGGTCGGGGTGGGGACTCGTGGTCCTGCCACGCCAGCGCCGTGCAAATCAGCCAGAGCGGCCCAGGCCGCTGAGTGAGGTTGGACGGAGCACGAATGTGGCCCGTGTCCACCGGACAGCGGTAATCCTGGTGTCAGAGCCTGAAGATTAAATCTAGTCCTTTACGAGGAGCCTTCTCTGGGTTGAGTACCTTACAGATGGTAGTGTAGCTAATCCCCTCTGTCCCCAAAGTGAAAACGTGCACAGTCTGAGACGGAGAGAGGCAGTGAATGCTGACGCTCCCTTCCTGAGGAGTTCCCGCTTCGGGCTTTGGGGGCGTGTAGGTGAGAGCGAGCTCCCCTGGGCCTCTGGGGGCCTGTTCCCGTGGCGGGAACCTGGGCCCGCAGTGTCCAATAGAAAGACAGTGCAGCTGCGTGTGCTGTTTCACATTTCCCCAGCCGCCGAGCTGAAAAAAAGCGAAAGATACAATTGAAACGAAAATGTCACTCATCCCAATACAGCCAGCCTATCATTTTCGTTTTTACAGCTAATCGATATAAAAACATTATTAATGACATATTTTATTAGATTTTTTTTTTTTTTTTTGTACGAAGCCTTTGAACTCAGGTGCGTCGTTTATACATCTCAGATTGGACTGAGCCGCGTCGGAAGGGCTCCGTAGCCGCCTGTGGCTGCCGTGTTCGTGCAGGACTGGAAAACAGTTGGCAGCTTCCTTGCCGCCTGGTTTCTGGTCACTGCCATCTCCACGGGGCACCATCCTTTGTATATTTGTGTCTTGCCGCCCCCCAGACAAGATCGTGCATGTGCTCATGGGCCTCGTCTGTGCTGCCAGGAGACGGAACATCGGCATCTTCCATCCGTCCTTCCGTGCGACTACCTACATTCGAGAACATCTCCACAGACACCTGCCAGCCAACGTCCACACGCTCGTCTCTGGCAGAATGTGCGTCTCACTCACCAGAGTGTCTGATGGGGAAAGTGTGCTGGTGTCTGATTTTCAGTCCAAAGACGAAGTTGTGGATGTAAGCAGTTTGCTTACACGGGGGATTGTCCAGTAAGAAAAGCGATTTCACTTTGGCTGCAACCCAGAGAGGGCTGTCTTGGGCAACTGGCCTCGTTTCTTAAGACGCAGGGGAACTGGATGAGGGGGGATGCTGGTTGGCTTCCTGCCCCCATGGTGATGTTAACTGGGTGTGCCTCCGGTGGTCTGGTCCTAGCATAGGTGAACCTTGGATGCCCGCAGTCAGTTTCAGTTTCAGATACTACCTGCCCCCCTTCAAGACGTGGCTCGTGACCACGTCTTCCAAGGATCCCGATCCCCACGATGTGTGTTCTGTGATGAGCACATGTGGAGTAAGGTCCCACGAGGGTGGGATTACTCGCCTCTGGCCTAAGGGTCTAGCTCGGAGAAGATCACTTACTGTATCAAAATCCTGTTTATTTATTTATTTTTCTTTTCTTTATTAAAAAAAATTTTTTTTAATGTTTATTTATGTTTTGAGAGAGACAGAGACAGAACGCGAGTGGGTTAGAGGCAGAGAGAGAGGGAGACACAGAATCCAAAGCGGGCTCCAGGCTCTGAGTTGTCAGCACAGAGCCCGACGCGGGGCTCGAACTCACGAGCTGTGAGATTGTGACCTGAGCCGGAGTTGGTCGCTCAGCCGACTGAGCCACCCAGGCGCCCCTGTTTATTTTTCTCTTAAATGTTTATTTATTTTTGAGAGAGACAGAGACAAAGCGTGAGCAGGGGAGGGGCAGAGAGAGAGGGAGACACAGAACCCGAAGCAGGTTCCAGGCTCTGAGCCGTCAGCACAGAGCCTGACGTGGGGCTCGAACCCATGAACTGTGAGATCATGACCTGAGCTGAAGTCGGATGCTTCACTGACTGAGCCACCCAGGCGCCCCTCAAAATCCCATTTAATTTGGCTGATGCTTTTTACCAGAGTTACTCGGACTATATTGCACTTAATATGCCCCATAGGAGCCAGCAGCCTGGCACGTGTAACCAGTAGCATCTCAGCAGCCAGGATCAACCTCTGTTTAGCCTTGTTTCCAGAAGCCTTGTCTAGATAGCCAGCAGTGGCCCATGCTCGCAGGAGCCGGGTTCTCGCAGGGGGTTGGTCCTGCTTCCCGCCCCATGGCTCCATGCTACTCAGTGTGCTGGTTGGACCCCCAGCATCGGCAGCACCTAGAAGCCTGTTCAGATGGTAGGTTCTCGGGTGCCTCCAGCCTGCTACGTCAGAATCCTGGGGTAGGCCGTGGAGCGTGTGGGCGGCATGCTTGCCACGTGATTCTAAGGAAGGTCAGCATTTGCAAAGCCCCTGTCTGGTGTCTTCCCTGTCAGTCAGCGACGCTGGGTCCCGTCTTCGAGGGCCCCGTACGGCTCTCTCCCGTGGGGAAAGGGACAGGAAGTTGATACCCACAGTGTTTTAGGAGCTTCTCCTTAGGCCTGAAATACAAGTGTGAGGGTTTGTTTGTTACCCATTCAGCTCGTTCATGCAAGCACCCCATCTCCAAAGAGCATTCTAGGCTTGCTTCTCTGTCCATTTGAAGAAGGCTCATGCTGGCCCAGGGGAATCGAAGACAGGCTGTTCTGGCCTGTAATTTCACTTCCTTTTGTCTCCTCAGGCCTTGGTTTGTTCCTCCTTCATCCCTTTCTACTGTGGCCTAATGCCTCCTTCCTTCAGAGGCGTGGTGAGTCTGCTTTGGTTTTGTTTTTTTTTTTGTTTTTAATTTTTTTTAATGTTTATTTGTTTTTGAGAGGGAGACAGAGCATGAGCAGGGGAGGGGCAGAGAGAGGGGGAGACACAGATTCCAAAGGAGCTCCAGGCTCTGAGCTGTCAGCACAGAGCCCGACACGGGGCTTGAACTCATGGACCGTGAGATCATGACCTGAACTGAAGTCAGACGCTTAAGCGACTGAGCCTCCCGGGCACCCCGAGTCTGCTTTTGTTTATTTATTTTTTAATGTTTATTTATTTTTGAGACAGAGAGAGACACAGCATGAACGGGGGAGGGTCAGAGAGAGAGGGAGACACAGAATCCGAAGCAGGTTCCAGGCTCTGAGCTGTCAGCACAGAGCCCCACGCGGGGCTCGAACTCACGGACCGTGAGATCATGACCTGAACTGAAGTCAGACGCTTAAGCGACTGAGCCTCCCAGGCGCCCCGAGTCTGCTTTTAAACTAACTGCACAGCTCCTGCCTGCAGAGCACTTGCTTCAGGCAGCCTGGGACCCGTCCCCAAATGCAGAGTCTTTTGCTCTCTTGGCCTTTCAGACAGAGGTTCCCTAGCCATAGCCCCCTTCTAGGCTGCCCGGGGAAACAAAACCACCTTCATGTAGAATTAATTATCTGGCTACCTGGAAGGTAAGCTGATTCACTTAATCTTTGCCAGAGCACCAAGGATAGGTCCCCGGTGCCCCGGTTAAAGTATCAGATGCTTAAGGGTCTGTTACTTGCTTAAGGTAGTGCTTTATTCTTAGGGCTTGAGGGTTTCAGCCCACCGTGGGTCCGATTCTGCCCTTTGCGGCCAATGGCTTTGGGCAGAAGCTGCCAACAGGGCTTTGCATTTGGTTCCATTCCACAAGTATGTGTTTTGGTCCATTGCTGAGCCCTACTTGGGATGGGGAAACACAGGCCGAGCTGTCTGTTCTGCAGGCATATATATGGGTTTTTTTTTTAACTATTTTTTTAATGTTTATTTATTTTTGAGAGAGACAGAGAGAGAGAGAGAGAGAGAGAGAGAGACAGACAGAGCACAAGTGGGGGAGGGTCAGAGAGAGAGGGAGACACAGAATCCGAAACAGGCTCCAGGCTCTGAGCTGTCAGCACAGAGCCCGATGCGGGGCTCGAACTCACGGACCGTGAGATCATGACCTGAGCCGAAGTCGGACGCTTAACCGACCAAGCCACCCAGGCGCCCCAATATGTTAGTTTTTTTAATGTGTATTTATTTTTGAGAGAGAGACAGAGTGCAAGTGGGGGAGGGGCAGAGAGAGAGGGAGACACACAATCTGAAGCAGGCTCCAGGCCCCGAGCCATCAGCACAGGGCCCGAGGCAGGGCTTGAACTCACAAACCGTGAGATCATGACCTGAGCCGAAGTCTGCCCTCAACTGACTGAGCGCCACGGGTGCCCCTAAGGCGAGCATGTCTTCATGCCTAAGATGTGGCTGAGCATGGGCCGTTCTCTGCACTCGTTTAGGCCTCGGGAAGGATTGGCTGCGGAGTCTTCCGGCTGTGATACTCGAAGGCCTTCCTCTGTGGGCACAGACAGCTGAGCTGTGATGGCCTTGGATTTGGGAATCATTCTAGACTTCACTTTGATGGGTGCAGACTTTGTCCAAATTGCACCAAAACCTGCCTGTGCCAGCCTAAAGTTGTGGGAGGATATGGATGTAGGGAAATTGATGCCCACAGTAGCTGATCCCAGATGCCACTAGGCCGTGGATACAAAAAATGTTTTTCTGGCTGCCTTGATCCCAGGTTCACGGCCATTTAGGTCTCCAAAGCTCCTCAAGGTGCTCGTTCTGATTTTCCAAGCAGCAAGAGGGGTCTGGAATCTAACCCATGACCTCTGTCACTTTCATGGCAGGGTCTACATCATACTCTGTCTCCAGCGCACACAGAGTTCCTGCCCAAACAGATCCCTTTCATGCAAATTATATGGGCACACCTAGAGGTGGCCTCCTGGGCTTCAGACTTGGCCAGCACGATGTGGGCTGGGCTCCAGCCTCTGTCCGCCTCGTTGCCAGGCACTTTTTGTGCGGCGCACAAACTACACAACAGGACATAGCAATCCTGAGTGCCAGCCTAGAGCCTGGCCTGGCATAGAAATGTTCAATGAGGATTTGTTGACGGAAAGTTTCCAGAACCTTGTCTTCTCACCATACCAGCCTGAGGCTCTGAGAGGCCTCTCCCCATAATCTGAAATACACATAAAACACCAGCCCGGAGTTTCTGATGCTGGGTCCTTTTTTCTTCCCCATAAAAGCGATACGTGGATGGAGGAATAACTAACAACATCCCCTTCTTTGATTCCAAAACGACCATCACCGTGTCCCCCTTCTTTGGGGAGTATGATATCTGCCCTAAAGTCAAGTCCACAAACTTTCTTCATGTGGAATTAACCAAGCTCAGTTTGCGCCTCTGCCCGGAGAATGTCTACCTTCTAATACGAGCGTTACTTCCTCCAGATCTCAAGGTGAGTTGGGGGCTGTGTGTTTTGGGGGTGCAGCTCTTCTCTGCTTCCCCATTTGCCGGGATATCTACCAATGGCTCTTTCCACAAACGGAATCAGATCCCTCCCCTCCCTCCCCTCCCCTCCCTGCCCCCCCCTCCCCCCAGTGAAAAGGAACTCAGGGAAGAGTGTCCGTCCTGGGAGCTCAGTGCTGCCCCACTCTGACCACTGGAATCACCTGGGAAGATTTAAACAGCCCTGTAGCTCAGATCCCACCTCCAAGGGGCTCTGATTCTTATCTCCAAGTGTGGTCAAGAACCACACCACATTTGGTGATTTAATCTTTCTCGATTGTTGTAGGAGGTTTCTTCTCCCTAATATTCAAACAAACAAACAAAAAACAAAAACAGAAAACCAAAACGTAAAACGTCTAAACCCTGGACACGAATGGTGCTCTGGGGAGAAGGAAGGCTGTGTGTAGGCTGTTGTGTGGACAGTGTGTGTTCCAGGCGACAAGGGGAGGCTGGACCTTGGTTTGCATGTGTGGTTTGTATTCAGAGGAGTAGAGACGGCTGCCGTTAACTGTCCCAGTGACAGCTGGAATGGGCCCCGGTATTTGTTAGGGTGGAGGCTGGTCTTGGGACGGAGGGGGCCCGGAGAAACCAGCCCCCGTCATGCTGGGCCACCAGCAAAGGCTCCACGGAGGGGATGTCCTCTGAGCCCAGCCTTGCATGAAAGTGGAACTTGTGCTTTTTCAGAGCACGGAGCCCTTTGTCCAGCGTCTCTGGGGCTGTGCTGGGCCATTGAGCAGCTCGGAGTGGGGAGGGTTCTTCCGTTTGTCTCGGGAGCCTTCGGAACGGCCCCCTCCGCTGCAGTGACCTTACTTGATGTGTTGCCAGGTGCTTGGAGAGATATGCCTTCGCGGGTATTTAGACGCCACCAGATTCTTGGAAGAGAATGGTATGTATGGGTGAGGTGGGGGGCAGACGTGTCCTTCTAACAAGCTTCTCGTTAGCAGTCAGCAACTGGAGGTTGAGGTTAGGTAGAAACTCAGGGCTGAGGGTCTTCACTTCGCAACTTGCTTACCCCGCATGTTAGCGCTGTGAGAGAGGAAATCTTTGTCCCATTTTATAAAGGGGGAGATGGATGTGAGCCAGGGGCCACACTGCACTCACTGAGCGGCAGGGCTGGGGCCGGGACACTGGGTGTCACAGTTCCAGGGCTCTCTCCTTCCTTAGTGGCACCTATCTGAACAGCAAAAGCCGTTCTGTTCGTTTTTCTTTTCTGCTCGAACTATTTTGAACATTTCGGTAAACAAGAGAGGAAGTTAAGCAAGGTGTCCGGCCCTGAGCCCCAAGTTGTCTCCAGCCAGGTGTGAGTCACACCCACAAGGTCAGCTGACGTCCTTTGTGGGACAGGTTCCTGCCTTTGGGTCATCTGGCTGGTCTGGGCTATGGGAGTTGGGCTCTCGCAATATTAGATGTGTTTGGAGCTATTTTTCTTGAATACTAAACGTTGGTTCCTGGGACGCCTGGGTGGCTCAGTCAGTTGAGCGTCCGACTTCGGCTCAGGCCGTGATCTCACGGCTGGCGAGTTGGAGCCCAGCGTCAGGCTCACCACTGGCAGTGCAGAGCCGCCTTCGGGTCCTCAGTTCCTCTGTCTCCCTCTCTCTCTGCCTTTGCCCCGCTTGTGCCCTCTTTAAAAAAATAAAAATAATAAAAGTACGTATGTTTTCCGTATGGCTTCTCAGAATTAGTCTTTGGCCAAGACCAAGGAGAAGTCATGGTTAAAAGGACATACACATATCTGTCCACTCAGAAAACGTTGACTGTATACCTTCTAGGTGCCAAGCTATTGGCTCTGTGCCAGGGATGCCACAGTGAATAGGCAGATGTGGCCCCTGCCCTCCTAGAGCTTAGTCTGGTGGTCAGATAAGTAAACGGAAGGATGACGTGTGCCGAGTGCCCTGATAGGAAGATACAGGATGCCGTAGGATCACGCAGGAGGGATCTGCATGGCCTGGGGGAAGGCATGGCTTCAGGAAGATGTCAATCATGTTGCAACTCTGGGATGGATGGGGGCGTCCTACGCACGGGGGACACGAACAGGAGGCTTGCAGACCACAGAGAGCATGGTTGGTTGGAGGATGGGAAGAAGGCGCACGTAGCTGGAGTGGCGGGGGGTGGGGGACGCTGAGAGGTGAGCAGAGAGGGGGGAGGGGCAGGGCTGGACCTGGCTGACTCCTGACGCCTGCAGCCGTAGGGAGCCACTGAGGGCTGCTGAAGCAGGAGTGAGGGAGGTCAGCAGAGGGCTTTGGCTGCAGGTGGAGAGGGCAAGATGCTGGTCTCTGGGGGACTGGCGAGGCCCGAGGGGACAGGGCTCAAAGATGACCAGTTAGAGATTCAGGAAGGGGAAGAATCTGGAACGAAGTCCCGGGTCCTGGCTTTAGCAGCCCGGGCAGGGGATGCTCTGTCCCCCGGTTCAGGGCTCTCAGGAGGGGGAGGGAACGTGTTCTTTGGGAAGGGTGGCCTGCTCCTTGCGGGCCGGGTGGGTGTGCAGTGCCCCAGGGACATTTTTGGCCACTTGTGCTGGAGGCAGTTGACATCAGGGCCCAAAGTGCTGGAGAGCCGTCTGGGCTGGGGACGGAAGTTGGAGGGAACCTGGGAATCGGTGACAGCAGCAGACCCCTTAGGGTCGCACTCAGGTGATTCAGTGACTTTCCTAACTCGCTGACTTTGGACAAACCACCTCCCTCCCAGGGCCTCTGTTTCTCCATCTGTAGCAAAGGGAGTTTGGATTAAGAATGCCCAGGTTAGGGGGGCCTGGGTGGCGCAGTCGGTTAAGCGTCCGACTTCAGCCAGGTCACGATCTCGCGGTCCGTGAGTTCGAGCCCCGCGTTGGGCTCTGGGCTGATGGCTCAGAGCCTGGAGCCTGTTTCCGATTCTGTGTCTCCCTCTCTCTCTGCCCCTCGCCCGTTCATGCTCTGTCTCTCTCTGTCCTAAAAATAAATAAACGTTGAAAAAAAAAATTAAAAAAAAAAAAAAAAAAGAATGCCCAGGTTGGAGTCTTGGTAATTCCAAAGCCTGGCATTTGCAGCTTCTGTGCTGGGTTTGAGTCTAAAGATCTAAGTGGGGCCCTCAGCCAGGCTGGCCCGGGTAGGGGTTGTCCTCTGGGAACAGATTATTATGAAGTTCCTAACTCAGGGCCCGCGACACAGGCTTAGCCGGTGGTTCAGTTGTTACCCGTTAATTAGAATTGCCGTTTTACCTTCATGCCCCCTCGTGTGGCTGGGGAGCCCACACAGCTAGTGGGTGATCAAGCCAGAGCCAGCCAAACTCACATCTCTCTGGCTTCAAAGTCCCACCCTTCTTTCTCCCTGGCAGGGAACGCCTGCCCTCGTGGATCCCCGCCTCGCCTCGTAGTTGGCTGGCAACAGGCCCTACGGCCCGTGGCTTTGCCCCCACATCGTTCTGTGGGTGGGTGTGTGAGCAGTGACCCCGGCCGCCCAAGTTCACCTGGTGCCTGGTTTCCCGCACCCTTGGTAGGCATCTGCAGCGGGCCTCGGCCGGGCCCGAGTTTATCTCCAGAAGAGTGGGGCTTCCTCGTGCCCCCCTCGGAACACACGGGGCCGGGGTCTCCCCCGAGGGCGGCTGCCTGGGGGACGAAGATGGAGGGAGACGAGCTGCTGGACCACCTGCGTGTCAGCATCCTGCCCTGGGACGAGAGCATCCTGGAGACCCTGCCGCCCAGGCTCACCACAGGTGCCGGCAGCTCGGGGGGCGGGGATGGCAGGCGGCGGCGTTTCCCGTGACAGCGACCCAAGGGGCTTCTTTTCTGTGTGTTGTGGAGGAAGGTGACCCGGCCCTGCAGGAGATGGAGAGGGCGGGGTGTGGGGGCCCCGCTCCTGGTGCAGGCCCGTCACCCGCCTCGGGCACCTTGCTCAGTCTCTCTTCCCGTGGGGTCATGGCCAGAGGGAAGCTGACTCCCAGCTGTTTTGAGTACCAGGCACACTGGATTTCCGGGGGCCACGGGGGTGGGTCTATTGTTTCAGAACCGCTCTTTGCCTGCCCACCCGTCTCAAAGCCTTCTTTCTTGAGGATCCCCCGCCCCGGTGTTTCCCTGCCTCCCCGCAATGTTGAATCTCCATTGGGCGGTGATATTTTGTTTTTAAGTTTTTTTAATGTTTTTATTTATTTTTGAGACAGAGACAGAGCATGAGTGGGGGAAGGGCAGAGAGAGAGGGAGACACAGAACCCAAAGCAGGCTCCAGGCTCCGAGCTGTCAGCACAGAGCCCGACGCGGGGCTCGAGCTCACAGACTGTGAGATCGTGACCTGAGCTGAAGTCGGACGCCCAACCGACTGAGCCACCCAGGTACCCCAAGTGGTGATCTATTTTTATCACATCATCAACTATTAGGTGGACAGGAGTGCCCAAGCCAGCTTCAGATCAGGCACTTGGGGAAATTCAAAGACGGACGGTACATCATCCCTTGCCCCAAGGCACCAACACCCCTACTGTGATAACCGTGCAAGCCAGCAGCTGCCTGGGTTAATGTGATCTGAGGTGTCGGGAGGTCATTACAAAAGGGTGACGGCAGGTGGCTTAGTAGGTTTAGTGTCTGACTCTTGCTTTTAGCTCGGGTTATGATCTTGTGGTTTCAGGAGTTCTGGGATCTGCACCGGCAGCACGGAGCCTGCTTGGGATTCTCTCTCTCTCCGTCTCTCTCCCCCTCCCCCACCCGTACCGTTTCTGTGTCTCTCAAAATAAATAAACAAATTCAAACAAACAAAAAAAAAGGAGGGGAGGGGTAGCAGGCCAGAGGGTTCCAGGCAGAAGGAAGCAGAGTGCGGCTGTAGGTCCAAAGAAAAGTTCATAAAGTCGATGGGGTATTTGGGAAGTTTGTGTATCCCACCAAAACTAGCTATTGTTAAAAATGTTTTAATGCTTATTTATTTTTGAGAGAGAGAGAGACAGACAGACAAAGTGTGAGCAGGGGAGGGGCAGAGAGAGGGGGAGACACAGAATCCGAAGCAGGCTCCAGGCTCCAAGCTGCCAGCACAGAGCCCGAAGCAGGACTCGAACCCATGAACTGTGAGGTCATGACCTGAGCCGAAGTCGGACGCTCAACCGACTGAGCCACCCAGGCGCCCCGAGAAATGGTTCTCATTTAAAAGAGAGTTGTTCGTTGGGAACCCTTTGTCCTGTGGGCTATCGAAGGGCTCTTCTGGGCTTACTCCCCGTTGGATCTCATTTGTGAATGCGTGTGATTCTTTGTACGCCAGGATTTATGTATTTCACAGAAATTCCAAGCACTAGCTGGACAAGGTGGTTTGGTGTTCACACTGGTGGGAGGCACGCCTCCAAATTGTATTTTTCAGCTCTGAGTGAAGGAATTAAAAGCCAGCAGAGATGCGTGAGCAGGATTTGCAACTCCTTGCCAGTTAAGATCTTGTCCTTTGCGATGCTGCCTTGTACGTTGCCCGTGGAATCTGCCGTTGCTGTGGTCCAGAGGTGAGCGTTTTTGTGTGGCTTTGTGCCTTCCTCCCTGGTTGGCTGCAGATGGGGAGAATCCACGTGAGCGTCTTCCCCCGTGGCCTGGCTCCTGGTAGAGCGGGATGGAGCTCCCTGTCTGTAAGGAGCACCCCGAAAGGTGCCTCACTTCTCTCGATGAAGAGCCCCCCTCTTTTCTCGATGCTTTTCTCGTTTGCTCCCTCTTGTAGGTCTGCGCTTTTCATTTGGGGATTTTATTCATGGTGTGTCGGGAGGGCATGAGGCAGACTCTTGAATTCAGGGTATTTGTGTCACGTCTGCTTTCTTCAGATTCACGTTGGCGTTTACGGTCTTTTTAAGGGGGTTGGTCGGCATGGCCTTCCGTCCACCTTTTAGAGGCCAGACCACCCTTCAGAATCCAGCTCAGTCCTCTTGTCCTTGGTGAACCTGTCCAGATCCCTTCCCCGCTCTACTGAATTAGCCGTCTGCTCCCCGACACCTCTGCCCTGGGGTGGGGTCTGATCAGGCGTTTACAAAGCCCACCGCACGGGTCCTTTTGGTGACCTGGGCGTCAGGGGTCGGGGGAGTCTGCTGGGCTCGAACACAACCCTGGGCTGCCTTGGCTACGAGATTCTCTGCGTAAGCTGCAGCGGGCACCTTGCCCCAAGGGGGAAGCCTGGCAAACCAGGCCCTTTTTCTTTTATTTCCACGTGTACCCCTTGAGCTTTGTGGAGCCCAGAAAGCAAGCCCAGAGTGACCTAACTTTGCTCTGGGGCTTTTACGTCGGTTTGTCTTTGGTTGACCGTCCCTAATCCACCTTCTGGGATTGATCAGATTAGAATTAGAGGAGTGCCTCTGGCGGTTTACCTGGACAAAGGGCACGGTGGTAAGATACCCGCCTTCCGTTTTGGTTTTGTGTTTGTTTGGGCTCGTTTTCATGCGGCTACACGTGTGTGTGTGTTTTGTGTCTGTGTCTTGTTTTTATCCCTGCAGACTGGTGACGTGGCTTCCAGATATTCCTGAGGACATCCGGTGGCTACAGTGGATCACCTTGCACACGTGGTCTCGAGTGGTGACGCATCTCTTCCCCACGCGCCAGGTAGATGATTTGGTTGTGGGTGTGTGGGTCTGGCAGGCACCCCTTTCATCTGGAAGTGGGGGTGTGTGTGCCTAGTCACGTAGATTCTCGTCGGACCTCAGACTTGCCGGTCAGAAGGAGGAGGCCCGGGGATGGTACGCGGTGCAGGCTGGTGGGTGAGCTGGTCTGTGTGAGGAAACTGATGGGCTCTGTTGTGCCCGTGGGCGTCCAGTGGGAAGTGTCCAGGTGGCTGGGAGGGCCACAGGCTTAGAATCCCAGGATGGTGACATCACCCCAGCATGGAAGCGTGGGGGACACCGTGGCTTTGGACACCACCACCCGGAGGCGCCCAGAGCGTGCACGGTGGGGCGCTCAGCTTTGGCTGGTGGTGTCCCTCCATCCTTGCCGAGACTGAAGACCTGAGTTAGTGTCCTTCATGTGTTTCAGACCCCAGGTACCGGCAAGCAGCCAGCGGCCTTCCCCGGGGAACACGAGGGCGTTTCTAGCCTCCTGGCTCCCTAGCGGACCTGCACACCTGTGGACGTCCAGGGGCCAAGCCACTCAGCAGCGCCACCCTCCTGTCCGGCCTGGCCTTTTGGGGCTGGGGTTGGGCAAGACCCCTACTTCCCTACCCTCCGAGGGCCGACGAGTCTCTGAGTCATTTGAGGAGACAAGTTTAGGACGTCCTCTCATAGATGCTAGGCCTTTCTGATCTTTGCCTGGGTACTTGCACGCTGGTGTCTAACGCTCCAGTGTCTGTGACGCGAGGGGTCCTGCCTCTGTGCCGAATTTACAGATTGTTGAAACCAAAAGCGATGTACTGTGTTTACGAAAAGCCAGGCTCAGGCTAAGCTACTTTAGGGTGTGTGTGTGGTGGTCGGGAGCATAAGGAAGTCTGATATGTAAGTGCCTGTGTGTGTCAGCTCATCTGGCTGGGAAATGGCTACGGGAAGCCCGGTGGGGAGGGGCGTTGCCAACTCCGTCTTGTAGCCCTCCCAGCGCAGGGTTCCTCACACAGCCGGTGTCGTGACAGGTGGTGGGAGGCTTGTGGCTGGGGGCTGGGCTGCCCGTTGTGCAGTCTTGGGGGCTGCAAGGAAGAGAAACGTGATCCCATCTCCCATACAGGAGGTGGGGTCAGTGGGGGGGGGGGGGGGGGGGGGGCAGCCTTCTCCAGGGAGGGCGCTGCTGGTCATGGCCATTAAAAGGCGGTAACTGACTTAAGTTGTAGAACACTTTTTTGCCCTCGCCTAAATATGTGATAAGAGTTTTGCATAAAATATACAGGAATCTCATTATCTGTTGCATCATAGGTTATGGGAATCAGTGAGGTGTTAGCAAGCCCTAGGAAAAATCCGGTGCACAGACAGGCATCCCGGGCCCCCAGGCAGGAGCCCAGCACAACAGAAGGGGCTTGTGGTCTGCGCCCCTTTTTCCTCAATGGCCCCTTCCCGCTTCTGCGCCCCCAGAGCCTTAACAGAGACAAAGAGGCAGGGACCTACCTTCTCCCCAGGTGTGGTTTGTCAGCAAGGACAGAGTAATGTGACTCAAGGTGAAACGTGCTGTCTCCATTTATGCATTCGAGTGGAACACAAAAGACACCGATCAGCTCAAAATCCTCAGCACCAGCTCACAAAGCTGCAGCCGTCACCTATGCTGTGTAAGCGTGTTGCAGCTGAAGAACCAGCCGGTTCGGACAGAGCACTTCCTTGCAGACACATCCCCTCGAAAAGAGAATGTGGTTCTAGGAACAGCCTCTGTGTGAGCCCTGAGCTGCCAGGACATTGGGACCTCCCAGGCAGGCTCCTTGTGAACATTCGGGGCCACCGCCCAGCGCACAGAACCCCGCTTTGTGGCTCCTTGCTGGGTCCTTGTGTCTCCAGGATGCGGGCACCAAGGCTTCTGTTCTGAGAGCGCTTTGCCCCTTAAGTGAGCGGTAGGTTCTCCCCGCCTCTTGAGCCCCAGAGCAAGGCACTGTCCCCCTTGCCGAGCTGGCCTGGGGGTAGGAGAGGCTGGGTCCACACCCACCTGGGCAATTTGGAGCATACCCTCGCGCCTTGCCCTGAGCCCCCGATTCTCAAGTTTCCCGATCACCGCAACTGTTAACGGCTGGTAGAATGACATGCGACTTATTTTCTTACTACTTTTGGAAATGGTTCAACCTCCTGAAAATGAACACGTGTTTTATCATTTTTAGAAAATGTGTGCCAAGACAAAGAAGGATAATACTCTTTTAGAAATGGCCGAGGCTCCACTCACCACCTGTGCCTTAAATGCCACCCCACTCGCACCCCCCACAGGCCCTCACGTCTCCGGCACTGCTGAGGGTTCTTCTCGGCGCGGAAACACATTCTCAAGTTCCTACCACCTTAGCAAACGAACCCCTTCCTCCTTGTATGGTACGTTTGTGCTCTGGAATTTTCCACTGTCAGGAATCATCACTGTGTAGTCTACTGAATGCCAGGGAGCCACAGTCTTTATTTGGGGAACAGATAATGAAACTTGGTGCAGAGCACGAACCTAGTCTTGGTTTAACCATGACAACAGCAACAACAACAACAAAAGGTGTGCATGTGGGTCTATGGAGAAAAGACTGAAAGCATCTTCACCAGAAGCACTGACGGTAGTGATCATTATGCTGTTATCTGTAATCGTAGTTTATTTGTTGCACTTGGGTTTTGCAAATTTCTATGGTAAATACTTATCACTTCCACTGGAAAAGATCTAATAAATGTGATGTTGAAACGTTTTGTTTTCCGTAGTGTCTGCGTCCTTTCCCAGAAGCCCTGCTTTCGTTTTCTTCCCTTGAGGCCCTTCAAATGCCCCCCCCCTCCCCCAGGTTTATGGCCCCGCCAGCCAGGTGGTCTCCACATGGACCCTATCCTAGACACTGGCCCAGACCCTCCCCTAGAGTCCCTCTCCTTCTGGGACCCCAGACTGTCCTGAGTGCTGGGCTTGTCCCCAAGGTTCAGCCTTGCCTGCTGTACTGAGAGTTCACAGCTGCATCTGGGGGCCTCACCTTGAGGAACCCCCCCAGTCTCTGAGCCCACCTGGCCACCTCCACTGGCCATTCCTCGGCTACTCACCAGTATAACCCTCCAGTGCACAACTGCCCTGTGCCTGTCAGATTCCAAGTCACCTGAGCTGGGCACCAGAGACTCTTTGAACCCCTTCTCCCCCGCCCCCTCCAGCTGGTCCCAATCTTGCTGGACTATGGAACGAACCCAGCCTCCTGTCCTGAGCCTACTCACTGGAGCCCATGCCCGGCGGGTGCTGTGTGGGGCCACACGCTCCCGCGAAGCGCCAAGGCTCACCTCCCCTGACCTCGGGGGTAGCCTGGATCCAGGTCGGAGCCTGCTCCCCTCTGGCTGCCTGCCCGGATCCTAACAGTCGTGTTCCAAGCAAAGAGGTGAGTGACCTCTATGGGCATCTGTGGGAAGACGCAGTGTCCCTTCCTCATGACCTCTGAGATTTGAGGTTTCATTTTATTAAGGGAGCCAGCGTAGTCACTAAACTGCATTTCGACTACTCACGGGGCCAGATCTATACTTCGTGAACCAAGTTTCTCAAAAGCTGGTGTCCTCGCGGGTATCACTAAGGGATTTGATCAGTTAGGTTAGTCTGGGTTAGGTGGCCTTTAACAAAGATTCCCCCAGAAGGTTGATTTCTTATACTGCATACCCATCAGACTTGGCTGGCCTAGCCTGAAACTGTCCCCCCATCTGGAGGGTCACTGATTGCAGCGACAGTGGGAAAGGAATATGGTGCTCAAACGTTGTCATCCAGAAGTGATAACTATCCCTTTGGCCTTCAACCTGTTGACCAAAGCAAGTCACATGGATGGGGGCGGGGAAATGCTACTCTACCTTTTGCCTGATGAACACTGTCACCGAGGGCTGAAGAGCCTCAAAAACCAGAACCCAAAGTCTCTATGACCCAATCAATTCAGGAAATACCGGCTTCAAGAAAGTGAGATCGAGGTACTGCAGGACTTCTCAGAGCCTTCAATATGTTAATGTGCATTCTGACTGTCAGACATAGTGTTTGAGGATAAAGCTGTCTGTGTTCCTGATGTGGCTTCTGTCACGCTGTCACCAGTGCCTTGTACACAATAGGCTCTTGAATATTTGGCTCAGGACTCATTGCCGTCTGCAGGTCAACCTCATGGATTACCTTTCAGAAGACAATAATGAAGGAGAGAATGCAGGAAGATGTAGTTTATTCAGTGTCTGCAGTGAGCCAGGCCCCACGCTTTAGCTCATCAGATCCTCAGTATACCGCCATGCCTTAGGAACTGCTATCATCCCCATTTTCCAGATGAGGAAACAGGAACTGGCAGAATGAATTCTGAGCAAGTGTCCAGCTTGTGTGACTTGTGCTTAAAGTCTGCTCCTAGATTAGCTTTGAAAATGTCCAAGTTTTCACATCTCCAATAGCCTCTTGAGTCTGAGCTGGTGTTCAGGAGATACCAATAGACTCACTTTGGTGGTCAGGGACAGGTTTCCTGAACCCCAGGAGCGGGGTGGGTGGGTAGGGGGGAGTGTAGATGGGTAGGTCAACCTGCAAGGGGTGCTGGGAGGTTAGGACTTGGCCCTAGCAGCGCTGGCTTGGGTTTCTTCCCAGGCAAGAAGGGGAATGTGGTCTCCAGGGCCCCTGGGGACTTGGGGTGCTATTTAAATGGGAGAGGGTGTCAGGAACTCTGGGAGGGGGCGGGGGGGGGAGAAGAAAAGGAGTTGAAATGATACTGTTATCAGAAGGGAGAGGACACATGGTCCCTCTTCCCCCATCCCATCACTCAGCTGTTTCTCCCTGCTTTCATCACTACACGTGGCTACTATTTACGACATGGTTTTGACGGAGGGAAGGGGGCTGCTGCCTCCACCGAGGGGCGAGGTGAAGCCCCGTGGCCATCCGGTTCTCCGCCCCTGGCCCGTGCCCGGGGGTGGAGTCCCCGCTAGCACTTATGGGCTCGGTTGAAAGGACGATTGTCGTGCACCTACGGCCCACCCAGAGCCTTGTGCTGTGCCGGGCGTTGTCACGCTCCCTGATTCCTATCCAGAGACGTGGTATGACCCTCCCCTTCCCTTTACCAAACGGGGACAGCCCTCGGGGGCTTCCGCGACTGTTAGGACCCGGGCGGCCGGCCAGAGGGGAGCAGGCGCCGACCCGGATCTGTGCTACCCCCGAGGCCAAGGGAGGCGAGCCCCGGCGGTTCGCGGGAGCGTGGGGCCCGCACAGCATCCGCCGGGCCGGGGCGCCAGGAGGACTAAGGGAGGACCCTGGCTGAAGCTCCGGCGCACCCACCAGCGGGTTTGCTCTTTCCCGGGGGCGACTCCGGACTCCCGCTGCCTGGGATCCTCACTCCGACCCGCGCCCCACGCGCCAGCAGCTACACCGGCGTCTTTGGAGGCTCCGCGCTTGCGCGGTCTCCAGGCCGCGGGACTTCCCGAGGTCCGTGCGAACATCCGGGTCATGGGTTCTTAAGGACCAATGAGCGGAAAGACCGTGAGCCGGGGGGCGGGTTA